TGGAAGCTGTGTGACCATGGGCAAGACACTGACCTCTCTGTGCTCCTCAGTTTATTCATCTCTGTCTTAAGGATTATGGCGAGAGGTTCGTGTGAAGGCCCGAGTCCCATGATTGGTGCTTACTGAGCGTCCAGTGAGCGTGCTGGTGGTGATGGTTGTCATCGTCCTCTGTGACCCAGATGCGTGACCGAATGGTAGAAAGGCATGCCAGGCAGAAGCCCAGGGGCATGCAAGAACAAGGCCCCAGCAGGAGCAGAACAGCCAGTCTTGGCTGAGGTCAGTCCCAAATGTGCCTCTCGGCCCCTGAAGATTTCAGGATTTTGGCCCTCAGGCAACTGAGGGCGGTTGGAAGTGCGGAGCCGGGGGGGGGGATCCTGGATAATTTTCAGACAGAAGAAGGTACTGGTTGGATTTGTGTTTGAAGAGAAGAGGGTGGAGGTGATGGTCTAGGCCTCGGAGAGGTGACAGGGCCTGAATGAGAGCTGATAATGGAGCCGGGGGCAACTCGCAGATGTGTTGAGTAGTGGGAATTCCCAGATGTAGTGGCCGGCCGTTGGAATGTGCAGGGTGGTGAGGAGAAGGCTCTAGGCTGCTCCCCCACCCCCAGGGCTGACTTTGGCAGCAGGTGGTCCTGGCCATGATTCCACCGAGCACCCGCAGACGCGGACTTCTCCAAAAGCAGTGGAAGGAGCCAAGAAGGCGACTGTCTTCCAGCCGTTTGGGGTCCCCCCAAGAGAGAGCAGGCAGGGAGCAGGGGCGGGGAGCTGGCGTGTCCTCGGTGGCCACTCTTGCCCGCTCTCAGCCCAGGTCACAGTCATGGTACTTAATGAGTCATGACTCATTACTGTTCTTACCTGATGTCATGCACGCATTATCTGGCTACAAAGTCTCAGTGTGAGGCAGGCAGCCTTATCTCGGTTTCCCAGAGGAGAAAGCAGACCGGAGAGGGCCTGCCGTCCCCAAGTTAGGACACAAGGCTAGACTCGCCGCACTCCAAGGCCTGTGCCACTGCCCAGCCTGACTCTGCCTGCCATCCCGCCAGGCCGACTCTCCGGAGCCTTCCCAGAAGGTGGCGTCTGCAGCAGGCATGATGCGGGGAGAGGGGACAGGCACACACGGGCCCAGCGGTCCACGGCCACAGGACTGCCGGCCCCCGACGGCAGCCGGGGAGGCTGGCAGGGCCTGGCGTCCTCGGGAGCTGGGACAAGAGCAGAACAGCTCCCGGGACCTTTGACGACTGCCACCCACAGCCCAGAGGCCAGCGAGCATTCTCCTGGAACCAGTAACCACTGTCAGTGTTCATACTCCCCCTTCCTGAAATAGCAAGCTGAGCCACTTCTGTGGTCAAAAAGCAAAAACAAAACAAATGTCCCCAGGTTCCTGTGGGTTTCCATTTCTGCCCTTGATGGAGTACGCCTACCGCCCCGGAAAGTCTCACTGAGGATGTGTGAAAACCCCCCCGGTTGGGCCATCTGCTCCCCGGCCTACGGGGAGGTGGCCGCGAGGCCCCAGGCTGGGCCCATCCTGCTCTGGACACACCTGTCTCCTCCTGAGTTTGCCCGGGTGGACCTCGCACCTCCTCCCCTCCCTCCTCTTCCTCCTTCCTCCTCTTCCTCCCCCTGTTGAGGCTGACTGAAACCCCAGCCCCCCAGAAGACTCCAGCGTCCGCCTGGCTCTGCCCGCTGCTGGCGTCGGGACTGGAGAGCTGTGCTCGGGGGGGGACCTCAGACCCGTGCTCCGGCTCCCGCACCCCCCGATTCCCTGGCCTGGCACCTCCTCCGGCTTCTGAGTGCCCCGCCACCCCTTAACGGCCACTTGCCTGTCCAAGATGACCTTGATCCCTTCTAAAACCTCGCTGCCCCTCCCCCAGAAGAGAGGCACCCCTCATGTTCAGGCGTCCCCCGGGGGGCCTAGTTGAGGCAGTCCTGACAGGCCTGCTGGTGGAGCGAGGGATGGGGAGGAGGGGGCAGGGGGGCGCTTCCGGGAAGGCTGAGCTCCCCGGCCCCTGGTGACCACTGTGTGACCTCCCGGCACCTCAGTGTCCTCATCAGTTAGACGAGGGCAGTGACACACAGGTCACAGGCTTGGGAGGATTCAGCTGCCTGCTTTGTGTAAACAGCTAACGGCACTTGGTGTGTCAGGGGCTGTAACTGGAGAGGGTTGTTGCCGAGGAAGGGCACGCGGGCCAGGTTGAGGGCTGGGGAGCCTTGGAGTCTTGGGGGCACAGGATGGACACGGTCCCTTCCAGGTTTCAGAAAGCTCACTCTGAGGCAGGAAGGGCATGGGGTGGGGGAGGGGTGGGGGAGGGGTGGGGGAGGGGTGGGGGGGGGAGCCAGGCAGGCGGGGCCGGGGCAGTGGCCTGTCAGGCAGAGGCAGAGGGCAAGGTGACAGGGGCTCAGGTAGGACAGAGAATCCAGAGCTGGAGTTGGCAGAACACCGTGACCAGAGTCAGAGATGACTCGTCCTCTGGCCCGTGTGGCTGGGGACCGCTGAGGTGCGGTTTCTGGAGGAGTAGCACACTAGTGTGTTTAGCCACTGCCCCACCCCCCCACCGAACCCTCCAGAGTAGAGCCTGGCTTCCTCCGCTCAGCTCTCTTTAGCAAGCATATGAGTCCCCGAGGGCGGGGAGTGTGCCGCAAAGAAGCCACACTCGGGACTTCATTGTGGGACGAATGAGCCCACCCTTCAACACTTTGAAAGGAAGCCGTCCTCACGCCCCCAGCCCCATCCCCACAGCCATAGCCCGGGGAGAAAAACACCCCGTCCTGCTGCCGTGTCCCTACCCTGATGCCCCTGCTGCCTGGCTTGTGTCCCGAGCAGCTACCCCAGCGTCCATCTGGCCACAGGACTCAAGGCGGGACCCGGGATGGAACTGAGGTCAGGCCAATTTTGAAACCAACGTCATGAAAGCCACAGTTATAGGGAGCTGACTGCCAGCCCAGCCCAGGCATTGTCCTGCAGGGTAGGCCCGCCTGCCTGGCCAGATGAGGGCCCTGCCCGGTCACAGGGCCAGGGCTCAGAGTGCGCCTCAGCCCCTTTGGCACCGGGGGGCGGGGGCCACATCTGTCTCGTCCACCGTTGTGTCCATCCCCAGTGCCTGGCACATGACCGTGCAGCCTGTGAAGGGTCACTTGGCCCCCCTGGGCCTCAGCTCTGTGTGAACAGAGAGACTGAGCCTGCTGTTCAGGACTGCGGAACAGTCGCTGGGATCACGAGCTGCACACACCCAGTCCCTTGGGTGCTGTTGGTCTGACAGGTGCCCTATGACCCTGTGCTCTCAGGTGCCCGGTGCCGGCAGAGGCCAGGCCAGGAGCCAGAGGAAAGGGCTGTGACAGAGGGGGACGTGGGATAGTGCCCAGGGTCAGAACACCAAGGGTCTTACTCCCTAACCTTAAAACGTCAACCGGTCCTGACTTGCCCCACAGCCCTACCTAGGGTATGACACTTGCCAAAACAGGGGGTGATTTGTGTGATCAAACACTGGCCCGAAAAAGCAGGGGACCAGACTGTCTCTGTGCACTGTGGTGGAGCTGATTTAAGACCTGGCCTGCAAGGATGGATCCTAGAAGGGTACAGAGGGGAGTGACCTTGGCTCTGGTAAGCCCTCGGAGTCCGCACAACCTCAGCTAGGTAGAAGTGATGGTTGCACAGCATTGTGGAGACAGGAAATGCCCCTGGACTGTACACGTTAAAGCGGCTGATTTTTTGTTACGCAGTCTTCGCCTCGATTTAAAAATAAAAGAACTGGGGGTACCTGGGTGGCTTAGTTGGTTGAGCTCTTGATTGCAGCTTTGGTCATGATGCCAGGGTCGTGGGATCAAGCATGGAGCCTACTTCAGATTCTCTCTCGCTCTCAGGGCATTTGGGTGGTTCAGTTGGTTAAGCATCTGACTTCAGCTCAGGGCATGATCTCACAGTTCGTGAGTTCGAGCCCCACATCCGCCTGTCCGCTGTCAGCACAGAGCCGGCTTCGGATCCTCTGTCCCCCTCTCTCTCTGCCCCTCCCTTGCTCGCTCGCTCTCTCTCTAAAAAATAAAAATTAAAAAAAAGAAAGAAAATTAGGGGTGCCTGGAGTGGCTCAGTCGGTTAAGCATCCAACTTCAGGTCAGGTCATGACCTGGCGGTTTGTGGGTTCGAGCCCCGCAGCAGGCTCTGTGCTGACAGCTCAGAGCCTGGAACCTGCTTCAGATTCTGTGTCTCCCTCTCTCTCTGCCCCTCCCCCGCTCACTCTCCATCTCTCTCTCTCTCTCTCTCTCAAAAATAAACGTTTTAAGAAATTATACTAAAAAAATCATACATTTTTTAAGAAAATTTAAAAAAAAAGATTCTCTGTCCCTCTCTCCTCTCTCTCTCTCTCTCTAAAAATAAAATAAACCTTAAAAAAATAAAAATAAAAAATAACAGAACTGCTACCACTTACTGAGCACCTGTTCTGTGGCAAGAACCGTACAGATGCCCTGTTTGAGTTATCACTACTCCTTTTGTCAGCTCTGTGGGGTGGCTGGCATCCACCCAGCCTTCAGACAGAAACCGGCTCAGAGGGGAAGGCCAGACCGCCTGTTCGTAATGGGAGTCGAGATTTAAACTACCCTGGGTCCTTTGCTTCATAGGTTAAGAATGTCTCCGGGAGGCGCGCCCCGGTGGCTCAGTCGGTTAAGCATCCGACTTCCTCTCGGGTCACGATCTCATGGTTCGTGGGTTTGAGCCCCACGTCGGGCTCTGTGCCAACAGCATGGAGCCTGCTTGGGATTCTGTTTGTCTCCCTCTCTGTGCCGCCCCCCGCCCCCGCCCCGGCTCCCTCTCCCTCTCTCTCAAAATAAGTAAGCTTTAAAAAAAACATTCTCTGGGAGGTTTGAGAGGAAACTGGTTCCCAGTAGGGCCACTGGGAAGTGGGGCTGGGGCCGGGGAGGCAGGTAGATTTACTCTGTGTTGTGTGCCGCTTGGGAACCTTTTAAGTTTTGAACCACGTGAATGATCAAAAGATACCAACTCAAAAGATCATAGAAAGTCAAGAAGGAGCATTTTATTTGCGAAAATAAAACACTGCCTCCGTAGTTTCATGTCAGAAACCAGCCCGCCGGATTGCTGTCCCCACTCATCCGGTTGGTAGACTGAGCCGCGAGGCCTCCTCGGTGATCATAGGACGGTGACACTCCTGGCCTCACGTGGCTGCTGTAAGAATTAAGTGACATCACAAAAGGACAAATACTGTATGAGACCACTTAAATGACGTGTTAGGTCGTCGGGATCGTAAGGACAGTGCAGTGGCGGCTGCTGAATCGTAAGGACAGTGCATCAGAATCGTAAGGACAGTGCAGTGGCGGCCAGGGGCTGCTGGAGTGGGGAATGGGGAGTTAGAGTTTCAGATTTGCAGGATGGAAAGGTTGGTGGGGCCGGCTGTACCACATCGTGAGTGTATTTGATGCTGCTGAACTATACACTTAAAAACGGTTAAGGGGCACCTGGGTGGCGCAGTCGGTTAAGCGTCCGACTTCAGCCAGGTCACGATCTCGCGGTCCGTGAGTTCGAGCCCCGCATCGGGCTCTGGGCTGATGGCTCAGAGCCTGGAGCCTGTTTCCGATTCTGTGTCTCCCTCTCTCTGACCCTCCCCCGTTCATGCTCTGTCTCTCTCTGTCCCAAAAATGAATAAACGTTGAAAAAAAAATTAAAAAAAAAAATGGTTAAGATGGCAAATGTTATGTGTATTTTAACACATTTTTAAAACGAAAAAATAATACAGGGCGCCTGAGCGGCTCAATCGGTTAAGCAGCCAACTCTTGGTTTCGGCTCAGGTCATGATCTCATTGTTTGTGGGCTCAAGCCCCGCATTGGGCTCTGCACTGACAGCGCAGAGCCTGCTTGGGATTCTCTCTCTCTCTCTCTCTCTCTCTCTCTCTCTCTCTCTCTCTCTCTTTCTCTCTCTTTCTCTTTCTCTCTCTGCCTCCCCCCCCATGACTCACTCTCAAAATAAATAAATAAAACTTAAAAAGAAAAAGAAGACTATAAAATGCAGCCAAAAACCAAAACAATTAAATGACAAAACGGAACAAGGTAGGTAACAGTTTGCACGCCACTTGGTCCTTCTTGAGGCCCCAAAAAGTACCCATCGTCCTTCTCCTCTCTGGCCCTTCCCGCCGCGTCCCACACCACACACCTGCACACGGCTGAGTCTGCCTGTCCAGGACCCCCCACACCGTGTAACTTGTGGTTTCTCCTCCGCAGAGAAGGCTACAGATGGCTCCCTGCAGAGCGAGGACTGGGCCCTCAACATGGAGATCTGTGACATCATCAACGAGACTGAGGAAGGGTGAGGCCCGCAGGCGAGGCGGGGGGTGGGGGACGGTCGGCCAGCCAGCCGCAGTGCAGCCTGCCTCTTGCCACATAGCCCCTCCCCATTCCCACCCCTCCTGGAGTGCAAGGGGAGACCCTCCTGCGGTCCTCCGTGCCACAAGGGCTGCAGAGGTCCTCTGAGTCCCACCCCAGGCAGGAGTGTGACATCTTAGACATTTTGGAACAAAGATTCCATCCAATGCTGTCATGAGATGGACAGGGGACCCAGAGATGCCCTTGGGGGGCTACCAGCCCACACGGCCTCTCTCAGGTCACAGCCTGGCCAACTGGACCTCTTAGGACATCACCTGGGCCACATCCTCATGGGACGCGGCCAGCTGGTGGCTCCCAGCACTGGGACATGGCCCCAAGCACTGTTCCGCACCACATGGGCTGGAAGGGGCAGGGAGACTCCCAGCTTTCTCTGTGAGCGAGAACAGACTTTCATTTCCTTAAGATTTGGAACCAGCAGGGGAGGGGGCCTGAGGGGGTCAGGGGACATGGAGAAGGCAGTGACAGTGAAGCAGAACTGAGAGCCCATCGGCATTAGCTTCTGCCAAGCATTTCTGGTACACAGGTCACCCCAGGACACATGCTGTGGAGGAGGCATCGTGATCTGGGCTCTTGGTCTCTGACTAGCACTCTCTGACCAGCTGTGTGACCTTGGGCAAGTCACTGTACCCCCCTAGGTCTTTGTCATCAGAGGCAAATATCTCTTTTAGATTCTTCCAGCAGTAAGCCCAAAGTCCCGAGGGGAGCAGAGAGGGAAAGCAGGGTCACTGTCCTCAGGAGAACCCAGGAAGGGTGGGAAGAGGTGGGACCACAGTCATCGGGAAGTACGGAACGATCTGAGAAATCAGAATCAACAGCTGGAGCGGGACCTCATTTCGCTCTCCATTTCTCACTGGGATAATCCAGCTGGTCTGCGGGGTCCTTCTCAGCCAAATGGTCCCTTTGTGGGGAAAGTGAGCCCAGGCAGCTGGAAGCGGGCAGCAGGCAGGGAGCACCGAGGGTAGCACACAGTGGCTACCGGCACCTTCCAGCATCCCCAGCAGGGGGCAGACCGCAACGGCAGGGCCACCGAGATAAAAGATGGGGGGCGGACAGGCTCAAGGAGCCCCTGAGAGGGCCTGGGGCTGCACAAACCCCCTGGAGAGGCAAGTCCCCATCTCCCTTATAAGCGTTGGCAGAACTGGGGCTTGCGCGTACTTGAGTTCAAGCGCATATGCTGTTGACTTGAGCACTTCCTGTGTTCCAGGCACTGCACGAGGCCTTAGGGACCCAGCAGCGGGCAGAGCAGATGTGACCCTTGGCCTTGAATCTCTGGTCTAGGTCTACCCCCCAGTGGGTTGTGGCCTCCCTGCCGTCCAGCCTGGGCTCCTAGCCGGGTACTGAACGCAACAGGCCCACAGCAATGGCACACAAGCCTGGACTTCTGATTCCCAGTGCTGTGCCCTCTCTCTGGGCCGCTCTGAAACGTGGAAACAAGTCCCTTTCGAGGGTGACGGCCTGCCCCAGGGCATTGGTTGAAAACTACCCCCAGCCTTCTGGGACAGGGGCCCACCCTGTCAGGGACCATGGTCCCTCACCCCACGTGTCCTGTGTGTCCATCACACCCTTGACAGGCCTCCGTGGCTCCTCCACCTTGCCTGCCGCCTTCGCTCGTGTGGGGGGACCCGTGTCGGGGTTCCTGACTTTCCTGACCCGCTCTTGACGGGCTCATCACTGAACAGACAGATGTCTGGCAGACAGCAGGACAGGCCCAGGGGCCACTCCCCAGCCTAGGAAATGTTGCTCATGCTCCTGTAGCGTACGGGGCTCTGGGAGGCCAAGTGTCAAGAGAGGACACGGTGCCCCCTCTTTGGGGGGCATCTTCTCAGCCAGGGAGCCCCAGGTGGGTGTCGTGTGACAGTGCACACCAGGGAGATGGGGGACTGGGAGTCGTGGGCGAGGCAGATTTTAGACGTGGAAGTTGGGGGCCACAAAGGCTTTTAGGCCAGAGCATCGGGGCAACATTGATTTCACCTGCACAGAGCTGAAGGACAGGACGTAGGGGTGAGGCCACCGGCGTGCATGGGCTGGGCGACAGATGGGGCAGGGAGGGCAGGCTGCCAGCAGAGCCTTCAGGGCTCCCCCTGCACAAGGTATGTCCACCCTCCCTACCGGGATGGCCTGGGCCTCTTCAGCCTCTCCCTCCGCCTCCCTGCACGGCCTCCATCCAGTCCCTCCCGCCTCTGCCTGAACCACTTCCCTCCTCCCCTCATCTGGTTCCATCTCATCCTTCACGCCCAGCCGTGATGCCACCCCAGAGAGGACTCCCCTGACACCCACTCACTCTTACTGCGGGCCCCCCTTCTTTCCCACAGTGATGTGGGTCTCCCTGGTCATGTGGTCCTTGAGAGCAGACCCGCACGTTCACCAGTGTGTCCCCAGCACCCAGCATGGTGCCAGCATGTGTGACTACTTAATAAGACCTGAGTGGAAGTGTGGGTGGAGAGAGGAAGTGGCCAGGATGAGGCCCCAGGACTCTGCCCACACGTTATTCGTTTATAAACCCCAGTGTGTATCAGGAATCCTTGGGGGTGTGATGAGTATACAGATCCCGGGAGAGCTTGGTTCAGGGACCTAGGGTGGGA